ACTGAGGAGCTTTGTGGGGAGACTTGATCTGAAGGAGTCGTCTGCTGTTATCTCCTTCCCCTCCATAATTCTGCCAGCTTCCCCGCCTTCTAAAAAAATTCCTTACTCCCTCTTTGCCTGCCACCGTCTGACTTACACATCTGCTTAGCCCCTTTCTCGGCAGTGCGTTTACCTGGTATGCTGACCTCTGCTTACAGAACGTGCCAGAGCCTAGATTGTTTTTTCTTTAGTTAATAATTATTGAGGGGTCCTATTTTGTGCACCACATTCTGCGACGAAGTTCATAACCTTGGTCTGAAACATCATGTCTTAGAACCTGTGGTCTGAAACCCCAGATAAGTTCTACCCATAAAGAGCTACTCGATTGTGTTTATGCATCCATTGGTGAACTCTGACGGGATAAGACCCCGTGATGCCTGCTTTCTGCCTTCCCAGGACAATCACATGGAGAAGTTCTTCACCCTCTGCCACTGCCTGGAGAGCCAGGTGACCTTCCCCATCCGCGTGCTGGACCAGAAGATCTGTGAGGCTGCGCTGGAGCACGAGCTGAAGCTCAGCATCATCTGCCTGAACTCCTCCCGCCTGGAGCCCCTCGTGCTCTTCCTGCACCTGGTGCTGGACAAACTCTTCCAGCTGTCCGTGCAGCCCATGGTCATCGCCGGCCAGACAGGTAAAACCTGCGGGGCTGGGACGAGGCAGGAGCGGGCAGGCGCTGCCCTGCTCAGGAAACATCACTTTCCAGAAGTCTGGGGACAATGTGACCTTCCTTTCCACTGATGATGTGAGTTCAAGGGAGGCCAAGTTCAGCGCTATTTTATGGAGACTCTGCGTGTTTAAAAAGAAAAAGAAACATTAAAATAGCATTCTTAATATCATAGCTTTTTTTTCCCATAAACTTCATTGCGTGATTACAGACAATCTTTCAAATTCTCTTCCTGGTACTTGATGGCTTTATTTTGCCTCTAAGATATTAATACTTTTGTTTTCTTGACTAACAAAGAAATAGAACATTTTAAAGAAGTAAGATACCGCATATTAAATGGAGGGAAGGAACTCTCTAAATTGAAATGGAATGCGACCACCTTTTTTATTGAAATACAATACCCATACCATAAATTCACTATTTCAAAGTGTACAGCTCAGTGGTTTTTAGTATATACACAAGGTTGTACAGTTATCACCACCATCTAATTCCAGAATATTTTCATCAGCCCTAAATGAATCCCCACAGCCTTTAGCAGTCACTCCCCATTCACCCCTCCCCCAGCCCCTGGCAACCACTCATCTATTTCCTCTCTGACAGTCTATTTTAAATGCTTATTTTTAACAAATTAAACACAGTGTATATCAAAAGCTCATATTGGAGGCATGACCAGGGTCCAGGGTAGACTGGCTGGTGCAGGCATCTTTATTTGCTACTGTTGTCAGCTGCTGATAAGGTCCTTTGCTCTCCAGTCCAGAAGATATTTTTGGGAGTGCCATTCATGTGCCCAGTACTAAAATCTGTAGCCTTTGCAACGATAACTAAGAGCATCTCAGACCTCAGAGGACCCACAATACAGCAAAGAGCAAGTGGCACACGACAGGAGTCCTCAAAGGGACACAGTTAAATATTGCGGCGGCGGTGAGGAGGGTGGTATCAAAGAAGAGAAAGAGAAAACACTCATCTGGGAGGATGTGGAAGACCCCATGAAGAAGGTGGCCTTGAGGAAGGGTAGAGTGAAAGCAGCCAAGGTGGGGCCGTGCAATGAACATGGCACGGGCGGAGACACAGAACAGCATGGGAGTGCTGGGAAAGAGGTCAGCTGCACAGTCAGGCGATGGACGAGGAGCCAGTGCTGAAATGGGCTGGGACACAGAAGTGGGGGAGCTTTCAGAGCTGGGGAGGGGCATGTCCTCCTTACCTTCACTTTGCATCACATCCTAAGATGCATCTTTTGTGGTTCCACAGATAAGACGTGCTGGGTCGTAGACTAACTGTTCATCCAGGCAGCTGTTGCCTCTCCAGCTGGATTCCTGCAGAGCAGAAACCCCTGCCCTCCTTCACATCCCTTCCATGCCCCCACATATGTGGCATGCTGCTTTGTGTCTTCCAGCTGTTTAATATAGACTTGTTCACTAAACAAAATGTTCATTCACATATTGTAAGCTTCTTCTCCATAGCGAGTTGCCATCTTGCATGTGGGGCCACGGGGTATTGGCACAAACAGACTAAGTGGAGGCACTTAGTCTACAAACATTTATTCAGAACCTGCTCTGGGTCTAGCACAGCAGGGGGACAACAAAGTATGAGAAATGCACCTGGCTCACGAAGGATTTCCAGCCTTCACAGAGAGACTGAGTTTCCACCGGAAATAGCCAGAGAATCACGTAATTCAGTTTCACTTAAGCCCTGTACTGTGAATTGTCAAAGGCCTCATGGAGGAGGTAGGACTTGTGCTAAGCATCGAAGGGTTGGTATGATTTTGCAGACAGGAGCAAGGAAGACTTTCTAGGTGAGGACAACAGCATGCAAACAGTCACAGAAGTGAGAAAGAGTGGCCATGTGACAGGACAATAGGATGATTGCCTCCTTTTAAGGGAAGTTGAATATGAGCAGAAAAGGGTAGTATGTTGGTAAGTAGGTTGGAGCCAAACTCTGGAGGCTTGAAGCACCAGAACCAGAGGGCATATGCAGTAAATCAATAGTTCGTGTTGACCTCCTGTGGGGACTGCCATGACACACATACATTTTTAGGTTAATCTGTACAAGAATGCGGGTTGTGCAACTGCACATCTCAAATCATAGTGTATATAAGCATCACCTGGGCATCTTGTAAAAATGTAGATTCTGATGCAGTAGGTCCAGGGTGGGGCCTGAGATTCTGCATTTCTAAGTAGCATCTTGGTGATACTGATAATGTCAATCTGCAGCCCCCACCGAGTAGCACCAGTTAAACCCTGATTTAAAGAGGGAAGACATCTGGACAGTCATGTCTTTGTCATGAAAAACATCATGCCACTCAGTGGCAGGAGGAGGAAGATCTAAAGAGGGAGGGTGACATCATCTGTGGTAGATAGATCCTGCATCCCGGAGCTCACCAGAACAGCTCCCCGTGCCCAGGCCACCATCCTGACCATCCTGGTTACACTGGTCAGTGGTCAGGACACATTCACACTGCCCATTTTTCTCTTGACTTCTCAGCCAACTTCTCCCAGTTTGCCTTTGAATCTGTGGTGGCCATTGCCAACAGCCTGCACAACAGCAAGGACCTGAGCAAGGACCAGCACGGGAGGAACTGCCTGCTGGCCTCCTACGTGCACTACGTCTTCCGCCTGCCAGAGCTGCAGAGGGACTTACCCAAGTCAGGTAGCATTGCCCCGAGGGTGGGGGTCTGGCGGGCTGGGCACCCCCACCTCCACCCCATTGTCATTCAAAATAAAATAAAACACTCAAAACTTCCATTTTATTTTTCAGAATAATACAAAACTTACATGAATGCTGAAATTAAAAGATTTTCTCTCTAGATCTTTCTTCCTTTCCTGTTCTTATCCTCTAAGCCCATTTTGTCTGCCCATTTGAAAACCCCTCACTGGTCTTTACCCAGTTGCTATTATAATTGATGATTCAATGGGGGATCTCTTCTTTAAAAGATGGAAAAGTGCCAACTAACGCCTAGGGTTCTAGGATAATAACGATAAGGAAAATAACATACATCCAGTGGCAGTGGTTCTTAAACTTTTCATTATGAAAAAATAAATCCTTTTTCTCATTTTCTTCAAACTGAACTTTTGAAATAATCCATTCCCCTATGGTCAGCATGATATAAGAAGTTGCATCGATGAGTTCCCAAAATTCCAGGCTCAAATAAACTTGGCACCCCCTGTGCACCCTCATTTCAAGTAAATCAGTAATTTTGATTGAGCTTTTTAAAATACTGGTAATATCTTATAGACTCACATAAGTGTTTTTAAAAATATTCAAGTACTTAAAGATGAAACACATCCATACATTGTATATACTTATCCTCAGAAGGTTCAGGTGACTCTGTGGATTTCTGAATCTCAGGAAACCTGACTGCATGAATTAAAAAGTTGTCATCATTTAAATATTAATAAATAAAAAATATCCACCTTTTCATCTTCTTGTGAGAAACTAGAAGCTCTGGCAACCCCGGGGTGGGGGGCTCTAATTCCCCATGGCAATAATAGGCTGGAGCTGAGTAGCACCCCATGCTTTTTGATGAGACATGTGTCTCCAGTTTACCATAGTCCTCACCACTCCCTAGTGCCTCAGACCCTATCTGCTTCCCCCCAAAAGAATGCCTCCGTCTGCACTCCACCCTAGGCATTTGATAGTAAGACCTTAATTCCAAAGCCTAATCTAGTGGGTTTTCGTCTACCCTATCCCTCTTCAGTTCCTTCTTAAGTCAGGAAGTGACTCTGGTCCCCTTTCTATTGACATGTCTATGCCTGGTGGGGTGCAGGCGCTCCCCCTGCCCTCCCTGACCCCCGCTACCACACGTACGGGCGCACGTCCGCTGCCGCCGTGAGCTCCAAGCTGCTGCAGGCCCGGGTGATGAGCAGCAGTAACCCAGACCTCGCGGGGACGGCGCACTCCGCAGCGGATGAGGAAGTTAAGAACATCATGTCTTCAAAGGTAGGGAAGATGTCAAACCCTGGAAGGTGACACAGGCGTTTTTATTTTTTAATTAAAACTTGGAGAAATAACACAAAAACAACCACTACTGCTGCCCTCTTCTTGGTCAGATGCTTTAATCTTCAGCTTTAGAGTGACGAATGTTCTTTCCCTTTGAATGGATTGGGACAGTCTGAAAGATGCAGTGACAAGACTGGCATTTGAGGATCTGCTCAGAACTAGTCAACTCTGGTAAAAAAAAAAAAAAAAAAAACCTTAGAGCATCGCTGGCTTAGCCACATGGAGTTAGTGAATACCAGAAGTTTTATTTTCAAGGAAAAAATTTTGCTTTAACTTTCCTTAATGCCTAGAAAGGTTGTTTTTTATTTTGTTTTGTGTGTATTTTAATAGCTTCCTTTTACATTCATTAACAGCCACAGATTGATTATCCTATATAAAAAGCCGAAGGAGCAACACCAAATTTTATAAACAAATAAAGGGTTGGTGACTTGCCCTATATTATCTTTCCTTCCGTGAATTCTTTATTTTTTCTTGATAAACTTTTTATTATTAAATAGTTTTAGAGTTACAGAATTGTGACTGTAGTACAGAAAGGTGTTACAGACCCTGTGCTGTTTCCCTGTTAACATTTTCTAATAGAATGCTACATCTGGCACAATTAATGAACCAATATTAATGCAATATTATCATTAACTTGAGTTCCTGGTTTATTCACGTCTTCTCAGTTTTTCTCTAATGTCCTTTTCCTGTTCCAGGATCCCACCCAGGGTAACACATGACATATTGCAGTTGTGTCTCCTTAGGCTTCTCTTGCTGGTGACGATTTCTTAGACTTTCTTTGTTTTTCATGACCTTGACAGGTTTGAGAAGTAACAATCAGGTAGATTGTTGAACATCTCTCATTTGGAATTTTTTTAAAATTATGATATAATTCACATCCCCTCAAATTCACCCTTTTAAAGTGTATGATCCAGTGGTTTTTAGTATTTTCACAAAGCTGCAATGAATTCGTAATCTGAACTTTTCCCCCAGTTATCTGCGGCCTCAGGGTGACTGAGCTGTGAGAATAATACCATTTCCCCTGATTAAGAGAAATCACAATCTCTAGGTTTAGAAACAGTCTCCTTATAAATTCCACCCACTTGAGACAGTGCGTGTGAGGAAGGGAATCTAGAGGCCAGGATTTGGAGGTGGACACTGACGCCGCCTCGCCCTGTGGTCGCGGGCAAGTCATTTATCTGTCCTGGTCACAGGTCCTCACCTCTGCCGAGGTTCTGACTCCTGGCTGAACTTAAGAATCATCTATGGATCTTTTAAAAAACACTGGATCCATCCCCTGAGATTCTGATGATCTATAGTTTGAACCCTTTGAAAATATTGATATTCTACCCTTTTTGACTTAAAAAAATCAACTCAGAGATGTGCTGGAAATGGCTTGTACCTGTTTCTGAAAGCTGATTTTCAATTTTCAGAATTTTTTTGAGCTACGTGTGAAAAACAGACATTAAAAATTAAATTACATAAATTTACAATTAAATAAGTTATATTAAAAACAAAGGTAATTGAAACGAAATGGTATCCTGAATTGTATCACAGAACAGAAATATGATATTAGGGGAAAAACTGGTATAGTCTGCATAAAGTCTATGGTTCAGTTAATAGTAAGGCATCAATGTCAATGTCTTGACATTGACAAATGTACCCTATTATCTATTAACATTAAGGGAAACCGGATGGAAGGCATGTAAGAACTCTGTTGTACCTTTGCAAAGTAGTACCTTTGCAACTTGTCTATAAATCTAATAATAACTATAACAATTTAAATAATTATTCCAAAATTAAAAGTTCAATTTAAAAAGGTAAACCTCATCCCTTCCTAATTACTTCGCTACATGTTGCTATTATCTATGTTCTTGAGGTTCTTTAGGCCTATTGTATCCATATGGTGGGAATACTATATAATGGTTTTGCTACTGCACATCTCTTCCCAGCTCCGCATTTCCATGACATCATGTTGGTAGATCGAAATCAGCCATGATGGAGATATTGACAGCACAGAAATTGGCAAATGCTACAAATTAGCCCCTTCCCGCTGAGAGCTGGTTGTTAAACATTTGCTGGCATACCATGGTTCAGCCTCATTTTCAAGGTCCCATTTTCCGATTGCCCAGGAGAGAAGTAGGCTGCAGATATTATTGACAGCCTTGATCTTCATGGTTTTCTTTAATGAAAATGAAAATATTATATTTCTATGTGGTCTGGGTTAACAATTTTCTAATTATTTTGTAGCAAGGGGAGAAATTTTTGTCTAACCAAAAGAATAGAGAGTGACCTTTCCACTTCTTTTCAGAGTAGATTTTGACGATTTATTGGTGTTTAGGAGACTGAGTACAGTACCATACTAAACCACAGAGAGGCACTGTCCCCACAGCTTTCTTTTGCTCTCCCAAGAAAGTCAGACTAGAATGTTGGAAGAAACTATCGAGCATGCCCTGATTCCTAACTGGTTTTTTACTATAGGTTGCTACACACCAAACTAACAATAGTGATTATCTCAGGAGCAAGTGAAATCAGGAGTAACTTCACCTTCTCTGCTTTGTGTTATATTTATTTATGGCAACTGTTTTACCTTTGAAACCAGAAAAAAATAAAAATATATTAAAATGAATTATGAAAAAAGAATGGAGGTTGTGATTTCCAGGTAGCTGGCTCGCCTTTCCATTGTCCCGCTGTCGGTTGACTGTGAAGCCATGGTTTGTGTGTTTCAGATTGCTGATCGCAACTGTAACAGGATGTCTTACTATTGCTCTGGCAATAATGATGTTCCAAGTTCGACTGCAGCCCCAAGGCCAGCCAGCAAAAAGGTACTGAGCAGGGCAGTGTGAAGATAATCACGGGATAAGGAAAGAAAGATTTGCCCATGCCCTCCCTCTGTGATTGAAAATAGACCCCATCAAAGTGCTCTCTTGCCTTGTTCCCCACCTTGCTATCTCACACACACGTACACACACACGTACACACACACACTTTTGCAGCTCTACCTTAATCTCCATTTTTCGACCACCTGACTGTCCATTAACTCAGAATTACCTAGAAGGCTTGATAAAACTGATTGCTGGACCCTATGCCCAGAGTTTCTGATTCAATCTGAGCTGGGGCCCAAGAATTTGCATTTCTAACAAGTTCCCAGCTGATGCTGGTCCACACTTTGAGAACTAGTGCATTAGCCTCTGTGTTAGTAGAAGGTGAGCTAGAGACAATTTATCCTTGACAAAAGTGAATGGCAGTAATTAAGTATCATTTGTTTCGATACTAAATAAAATAATATGAAATGGTTTCTCATAATTCTCCATCATCAGTCTTACCTATGAGTTCAGAAACTTTACAAGCTGTTAAACTGCTTACCAGAATTTCTTAAACCAACAAAATTTCTCCAATCACAGTCACAGCCTGGGTGGTCTAAGGGATGGGGGGGTCTGTCCCAAGTTTTCTTCTCTGTGAGGCACCTGTTATAGTAGCTACTTAAGTCAAGTCTTTAGTGTTTTTCAAGACCCCTATTAAAATGTAAATATGCTAGTTACAAAGAATAACACAAGAAGCCATTTCCAACAGCTAACACCACAGGGAAATGTTTATGAAGCAGCCAAGGAGGGAAAGAGCCTCAGCGCACTCCCCTTGGGCTGGATGAGGGAGAGATCTAGGCTGGGAGGCCCTGTCGGGGCTGGAGCTGCAGACTCTGCAATCACCCAGCACCACATGTCCAGGGAGAGGTACCAAGAGTTCACTATAAAAGGAAAAGTGAAAGGTGTGGTTAGGCTAAAAACAATCTTGTCACTTACTCAAAAATTTGGCATTAGCGCCTTTGCAGTGACTGGATGTGAGTGCCATTTTCTTCTCAAAACCATTGTTTACCTACAGCTTGACTTGCTTAAGGCATGTCCTGTTAGGTTTGCAATTGCCATATGTTGACCTGAAATGACCAGAAGAGAATCATTTCAGTTCAGACTGAAGTTTAGCCAATATGTTTCCTTAATAGCTCAGCAAACAGGGTTTTGCTGCTTGGCTATTTTCTATAACCTCTAGAGCAAGGTGTTCTTGTAATAATGCTGCCCAAGAAGCAGCATAAATTACTTTAAGAAGCAGCTTATCCTTGTCTAATCTCGTCTTGCCATAAGACTCTGGCAGCCAAACTGACCTATTTTCCAGAGGCTACCTTTGAAGCTGGGCATGTCTTTCCTACAATGGGAAGATCAAGGTGTAGCCCAGTTACATGGCATGCACAGTTAGACCACATGCTAGATTAAAATTCAATTCTATGCTTCTCCCAGATGGGAGAGCCTCACTTAAAACTCACAACAGCAAACAAATGTGTTAACTTGTATTAAGATTATTAAGGTTTGATTAATGTCCCAAAATGAAGTGAAACCAACTAATAGCTAAAGCACCTAAGCATTCTCCTTTCATCACCATTAACCCACTGGGGATCTGGGTAGTTAAAACTCCCAAGCACAGAGATTTTCCATTTGTCTCCTTTTAGTTTAGCTAAGTAGCTCCCAAATTTTAATGTGCATAAGAACTAGTAAATTGGGTTGCTTGCATACTGTACTCTGTGGGTAATGAAAAAGACTCTCAAGAACAATCTTTGCCCTAATCAATTTTTACTTTAGGTGTTGACTTTAAAACTTAACTTTCAGCCAGCCATGGTGGCTCTTGCCTGTAATCCCAGCACTTTGGCAGGCCAAGGCTGGAGGATTGCTTAAGGCCAGGAGTTTGAGACCAGCCTGGGCAACATAGTGAGACCACCCTCCACACCCTACTCCACATTTCTATGAAAAATAGAAAAAAAAAAAAAAACTTTAACTCACACATAAGGATGTCATATTGTTTTATCTTTCTTACCCACTGAACAATAAAAAAAAATGAGTTCATTTGTATTTATTCTAGGTTTTGTGGGTGTAAGATGAATGAAAGCACAGAAAATTCCCAGACATTGTTTTTGCCTTTAGTTAGGGTGGCTCACCATTCTGATTTGCCAGGACTGAAGACAGTCTCCAAGATGCAGGACTTTCCATTTTAAGACCAGGACAGCATCAGGCACACTGAGATGAGGTGGTCGCCCTGCCTTTAGTCTTGAACTTCTTCCCCATCAAAACTATTGTCAGGAGCATTAACCAGAAGCCAGATAAGCTGGGAAATGGGGGAAGTGGAAAGATATAAGTCACCGTCTGCTACATTTGCTATGGAGTAGTCAGATGACTTGAAGGGAAGTGAAGACATGAAGTGGAAATGCAGGACTTTTCAAACATCTGACCCTGGGACATAGGAATTTAGAAGTTGTGAGTTCAGGCTGATACCACTGGGCCTTTTAAATCAGAAGATCCACTCATAAACCCAACCAATCACCTTTCCCACAATGCCATAGCGGCGATACGAAAACAAAAATTATCCAGTCTGGAAGGGAGTTTAGATACCATCTAGACAGTGGTCCTCAGAGTGGGACCCTGGACCAGCAGCAGCAGCATCACCTGGGAACTTTTTAGGAATGCAGATTCCCAAGCCCTGCCCCAACCCTACTGAATCAGAATTTCTGGGGATGGGGCCCAGCAACCTGTGTTTATCAAGCCCTCCAGGGAATGTTGATACACATTCAAGTTGGAGAACTGCTGCTACCACCAACTGATTTTATGGATGAGAGAACTGAGAGCAAAGAGAGGAATGGCTCACACATGGTCTCACAGAGGGTGTAAGTGAAAGACAGGACCAGTTTCGGCTGCTACCCTGGAATGCTTCCCTATGGAAGGCAGTTTCACTTCCATCCAAGTCCATTCCTTCAAACCCAGCTAGCTCTCCTATCCAGGACCAACGCCCACCTTCTACCCACCTAAACGGCCTTTGGTCTCGGGTTATTTCAGCATTGACTTGATGGCCTAGGACATCTAGGACACATGTTCAGGAATGGACAAGCTATTAAATTGGGGGGAAAAAAGTAAAGAAAAGAGGAGTTGGTGAATAATCGCCTGGTTTTTGTGGTCGTTGTTCAGCATTTCCACGAGGAACTTGCCCTGCAGATGGTGGTCAGCACTGGGCTGATGAGAGAAACAGTCTTCAAGTACGCCTGGTTCTTCTTCGAGCTCCTGGTGAGATTCTTGCTCGTTCGTATCTAGCTGCAAAGGACAAGGGAAACATGGCAGAAAGGAATTGACATTTTGTTCACCAAGTTGCTCCTGCTAAAAACCTGGGATTGTTCCTTGAACCCGCACCCCTTCATGCACCTTCCATAAAATCTGCTGATTCTGCCTTGAAAATCTACCTCCAACCTGTATCTTCTCGTCGTGTTCCTCACTCCCCACCTGGCCATGCCATCATGCCTCATTGCGATGACTTCCTCCTTTTCCTGTCTGTGTCCATTTTTGCTCTTGGCTCATGCATTCTGCACAGAGCAGCCCACATGAAACAGATAATGCCACTCGCTTCTTTACACCCCTTCAGTGACTTTCAGTGTGCTGAGAATACAGCACAAATTTCTATCATGGCCTGAAAAGCCCTCGCTAATTCTGTCGTTTACCTTCATCTCCAGCCTTGTCTCATGCACGGTCCTGCCTCAGTCAGCAACATTGTTCCTTTTTTGGTTCTTTGAAGAGGTCGTCTCAGCTTCAAGGCCTGTTCCAGATTCTCTCCTCATTCCCGACCTTTCACCCCCCAACACCTCCAAAACACAGTGTCCTCCCCTTTGGGTTTCAGCTTCAGTGGCACCACCTCTAAGGGGCCTTTTCTGACTACCATATGCTATAATATGTCTTCACTTATTATCCTCCTTTTAAACACCCTGTTTATTTCCTTCCTAGTACTTATCACAATTGTTTTTCTGTCTCAGCTAGTAGATTTCTAGGATTTGGGTCTATCTTCTTCATTATCCTGTCTCTAGCCCCAGCACACTGCTTTGTATCATACAAGTGCCAACTAATATTTGTTAGAAAAAATATGAAATTTGTATATCTGTTTACCTTAAAACTTTTAGCATTTCTTCAGCAAAAAAAGCAAAAGGTACAGCTGTAATTCCTTAATTTTAAAATCAGGAGAATAATAGTCTTAACTATTTTTGTATCATTATTAATGGAAGTGGTAGGATTTTACCACAAAGCCTCTAAGAATAAGCATTTGTCAATGTTGATAAATGGAGATGCATAGTGAAATGATGTTAAATGAAAGAAGTATAAAAGCACAGTCACCACCTATATAAAAATGTATGTACAAACAAGTCAGAGGATTAGAAGTCGGCTGAGATTTAGCGATAGTGTTAGCTTTGTATTCACTGGGTTCTTTCCCCTGTGACATTGAGTGAATCATATTTTTTAAAAAGAGGGAGAGAAATGGTAGGGTCTCCACCTAAGTTCTAGTTTTTATATGCAAGTTCAAGCCTCAGAAAAAGAAAGCAGTGCTGAACAATCAGACATAAAGAACAAAGGGGTCAACAGAAACAGAAATAAAACACTCTGGGGAGGAAATGGGAAGTGATGTGCAATAGAGTTAGAAAGAAGTCAGGTTCTGCCAGGCGAGTTGGCTCATGCCTGTAATCCTAGCACTCTGGAGGCCGAGGTGAGAGGATCGCTTGAGGTCAGGAGTTCGAGACCAGCCTGAGCAAGAGCGAGACCCCGTCTCTACTAAAAATAGAAAGAAATTAGCTGGACAACTAAAAATAGAAAAAATTAGCCAGGCACGGTAGCACATGCCTGTAGTCCCAACTACTTGGGAGGCTGAGGCAGAAGGATTGCTCCAGCCCAGGAGCTTGAGGTTGCTGTGAGCTGGGTTGACACCACAGCACTCTAGTCCGGGCAACAGAGTGAGACTGTCTCAAAAAAAAAAGAAGCCAGGCTCATGCCACAGAAACACACCTACGATTCAAATATTTTAGAGTTTCACAAAGTCTTCAACCCCTAGTTTGAGAAATGTCCTAAAGCACAGCCCTAAATCCCTACAACAAAATCAACTGGGGGTGCTTAATAAAAATGAAGCAGATTCCTGAGATCCTCCCTAGAACTACTAAAATTAGGAGGGGCGAAGGGCAACAGTGAGCATTTACCTGTCTTCCTGGATGACTTCTAAACACAGTAATGATCCACTGGTCCACACCACCTCTGCTCTCTGAATCCTAAACAAAGAGGGGTCTTTTGAAATTTGTACCCAGCCAGCACCAGAAGTTTTTGCATTCCAAAAGCCAAGCTGATTAAGGTGGGTGGCTGCAGCTCACAAGTCTTGGGGCAAGAGCATTAGCAGTGACACATGAGCTCTGTGCTGCTCTGGCAGGAAATGGACTGGCCGTAAAACCCACTCCTCTCTTTTGTCTTGAGGCACAAGAATTATCAAAACCAACACTCCATGCCCTATATATCCTGCTTCTATTTACACATTCCACCCACCATCAAGTTTCTCCATAAACAAGATTCACTTGGGTCATAATCTATCTATGGATGATTCATACTAATAATTCATTCCCAATGATAATGAGCACAGCTTTGCTAAGCCTGAGTGGTTCCTTGTGGCATCTTAGAGCTCTCTTTTGAAGGCAAGTTTGTATTCTCTGCCAGTGTAACGATGACTCTGTCCTTCATAGAATCCCAGTAACAGCTGGCATCCCTGTGGAAGAAAAAATAGTAACATCTAAAATGTATTGAGCATCTTACTATATATATGCCAGGAACTATTTAAAGCATTTTTTAAAACATTATCTGATTTAATCCTCATCCAACCTTGAGGCAAGAGGAGTTTTTATTATCCCCAATTTACAGATGGGGTTGGAGGAAGGGTGGTGGCCATGAAGAGGGTCTCCAGGTCCACCAAAGGCTTCAGCAGTACAGCTTCACTGACCCCAACTGCAAGGAGCTAAGGAAAGGTGAAAACTTTTTGATCTTGCACATTTATTTACTAGTACTTGGTGGGCCCAGGAGAGAAAGCAAAAGCTAAAGCACACAGCCCTTCTTACCTCCAGGGCGTCCCTTATGGGGAGCAGATGAAGTCACTGGGGAGGAAGCCCCTGCTAATCTGAGCACATTGAGGGGGTTGCCCACGGGCAGATCAACCAAGACATCAGTTACACGGGGCTCTGCAGGCTAAAACCCAAGTCTGGCAGAGTCCTGGCAGGACAGAGTTGGCCTTACTCAAAAGGGTTAACTGAAAAGCATTGATCAAAAGGACTCTGCCCAGGGTGTACACAAGGTTACACGAGCCAGTGAGGGTTGGTGAGGCATCTGGGGTGTAGCAGTGGCTATAGATTTTATCTGTCCTAGCTCTAAAGAATCAGGGGTAGGGAACAGTGCAACGGAGGCACAGAGAAAGCTGGAGGCAGAGAAGGTCCACATGACAGGAGCTGGAGCCTTAGCAAAACATTGCGTCTCCAGAGCCCCACTGAGACAGGGATGAGTGCAGGGAAGTGAGTAATACCTGGGCTCTCTGCCCCCAACCCACTGCCCCCCTGCAGGTGCCTCACATTGGCCAACTCCAACCAGAAGCCAAAGGCCAAGGGGGCGTGAGTGCTGTGGTCTAGAGACCACCTTCCCAGCATTCAGAGACAGGCAGAGAAGGGCAAGAAATCCATCTGGGGGCTGGAGGAGAGACAAATGGAAACTATCCACCCCAACCAGGACTTTGCAAGGAAATTGATCTCAGATGCAGACAGGGCACCCAGTCCTCCATGGATTGTGTATTTGCCTGACTGATGCCCAGGAAATTGTTTAAAAACCAAAACACTTTTTTCCCCAAGAAGCTTGAAGAGAGAGAAACAACAGCCTCCTTAGGCTTAGCCAACAACTTTAACACCCTTTAGTTGTGTCAATGCCCAAGTGCTAATGAACAACCACTTTGGCATTGGAGCTGTTAAACACAATCCTTGGGCGAATTCCACACTTGCTAATGAATAAATCCCTGTGCTTCTAGAAACTGCTGAGCCAGACCTTGGAGACCCAGAGGTAAATGGGTGACCTAGTTTACTCACTCAGGACACGAAGTTCTTCACTAAGGGGTTCTTTAGAGGTATCTCTACTATGAATGGGCCACAAAGGCCAGTATAAGGGAAAAGATTTTCCTGCCTCACCCCACCCCACAAACAATGGGCCAAGCATCTGCTAGTATTTCTACTGGGTGTTCTTCTCTGGAGACACGGAGGACATGGTAGTTGGCAAGTTACTTACAGTCTGGAAAGAGGCCATTAGTTGGAAGAACGGTATTGTGAGAATTATTTATTTGGTTGTAGGATGGCCAAACTCAGCAGGCAGGAACTGAATACAGCCTGTGCTGAGGTGGGGTAGCCAGCAGAGAATCAGGATTGGGGTTGCCCAAAACAAAGAGGCCTTATCTTCCTATGTCCTTTGTTAGGAGCGCCTAGTGAGAGAGACACTTTTATTGAACAAAGACGGGGTCCAGTTTCCACCCCTCATTAAGGTCATCCCACCAAATGTGTTCAGCTTGATGGGATTTGGACACATCCACGCGTCCTGAACGAAACAGGACCCTACAGTGGAGAGAATCCGTAGTTCTTACACTTGGGCATCGGCACTGGATGTTCTCAGGTCTTCCCTGAGCTGGCTGTGGCATTATCTGAAAACATGAAACACATCAAGTCTCTCTCTTGTTTTCTCTTCTTATTTTGCCTTCTCTTTGTTTTTTCTTTCTGTTTGTCTCAGTGCTAACAAAATTTACCATCCTTAGAAACGGAAATCTGCTGTTAGTACATAAAGGTTCTCCATGTAGCTCTTGGGAGTGGAAGTCAGTTTCTGCACAACTATCTTTGTCTCCTCTTCTTCCAGCCCAGACCAGGGTGGGGACAGGAGATGGAATGTGGGTGTCTCAACTTTCAACTCCTTAACTTCCAGGGTCATTTCTTTTTGCAGGACTCTCTCATGACTAGCCTGGACACATTCATGAAAATGACCTCAGAATGTAGGCACCCAACCACAAGAACTCCCAGTCTTTCCTATGTTCCGAGTAGCTCTAACCAACTTCCAACAAGGGCAAGACTCAACCTTAGATGGTATCAAAGAGGGGTTGTGTTGACCCATGACTCTCCTGGTCCCAAGAAGAAGTACAAAAAATAAGCATGAACTTGACTTAAAATTGTGGTAGGCATTGAGCTGGTATTATACTAGTTATAATACAGGCAGTCACCAATTGACACACACATAGATTTTATATATAGATATATATTGAAGCATAATTTCCCCTAGAGGCAATGTTCCAATAGTGGCTAAGTTTCCAGCTAGCCAACAAAATCCTGCTCAACATGTAATATAGTTCAAATTTATAGAACCAGGAAGTATTAATAACTCTGTTGGAAACTATAGAATTGTTTCTGGGAAAACTGTGCTCCCTCAAGAAAAACTGTGAAACCCAAAATAGGAGGAACATGTCTCCCCTGTTCTCCTTACTATAGTTTCAAGAACAGAAAAGACTTCAGTTCACATCGAGAACAGTATCATAAGCAGTTCCTTTTTGTGCCGTGTGTGATATGCTATGATAGCGTGATGCCTGAGTGGTTATGGGAGCCCAGCCTAGGTCTGCCTTCCAGGACGTAGGCAGTTGAGAGAAGGGGAGTTTTATTACACTGTAGCTAAAGAATGAAGTCCTGGCTTTGTCAGCAGCAAGAAGAGAGCCCCCTGACTTGGGGTCAAGAAGAGGACACCCTTCCCACCTCCCGCCACCATGGTAACCATTGGTGCGTCAGGAGCATTTTAGTCCAGAGGCTGCTTGGGCACCACCAGCACAGATAAAGTGTTAGAAAGTGTATTGTTAAAGAGCTGTTCTCCAAGTCTTCCCCCCTTTCCACATTGTACAAGCAGGTCACCAATCTCATGTTGACATTTTCCCCCACGCGCTCTGTAGGTGAAAAGCATGGCTCAGTATGTACATAACATGGACAAACGCGATAGTTTTCGGAGGACTCGCTTTTCCGACCGTTTCAAAGATGACATAACTACTATTGTTAATGTGGTCACCTCGGAGATTGCAGCCCTTTTAGTAAAATCTCAGAAGGTAACTGTGTATTTTACTCTTTACTTTCTAAATTGTTTACCTGGAACATGTGTTACTTTCATAATCAGAGGAAAATAAGCATAATTTTTAAGACACTAATTAAAATATAACTATGATGACAGTTAAGTGCATTATGTTATACTGGACTGGACCCTGGGATGGGGCTGGGAGATTGTTATAAAGAAACTGCAATATGGACTATAGTTTAAATGATCATGCCAATATAGATATGAAAGAGAGTATTTTTGCTCTTAGGAAATACCCTTAAGTATTATGGGGTAAATGGGCATATTTGCAACCTACACACAAATGGTTCAGGAGAAAAAAAAAATTCTGAGAAAGAAATAGAATGGTAAAACAAATGTAACAAATGTCAAATATTGATGAACTCAGTTAAAGTGTATATAGTAGTTCTTTGTACTATTCTTGCACTTATTCTGTAATTTTGAAATTGTTTCAAAATAAAAGTTTAAAAATACATAAAATGAAATACAACAAAATGTTAAAAGTTAACTATAAAATTTAGGGAACAGGATTTATTATTAATATTTTTATCATTATTAAGAATTTGTATGAAGGTTTTCATTTGGCTATTCCTCCTGGCAAACTTTGTTAGAACAGCAATGGAATCTTCATATTGGCAGGCATGAAAATAAGTCACAGTGAGGTTGATAAATTTTCCAACAGTCACACAGCTAGCAGCAAAGCAACAACTGGAGATGCCAAGCCCAAATATACAGACAGTCATGTAAAGTACCCAGCAGGGTGTAGCCATGTCTGGGGTGCTGAGAGCCTCAGGACTTCTCAGTGGCACTGCAGAAACCTCTTTACCAGGTCCACATCCATCCCAGTGACTGGTCAGCTTGGCCTGAATTTGCAAACTGTGCATCATAACAAGAGGAAAATAGTTTCAAATCGTATTTTTAACAGTATCAGAGGATATTGATTTGTCATTCTGAGAATAAAGGACATAAACACAAAAAGGCGAATCACTGATTGCTCGGAAGTGCTGTAAAATTCTCATAAACATGAGCACGAAATAATTAAAAAATAAATTAGGACGGGCACAGCGGCTCACACCTGTAATCCTAGCACTCTGGGAGGTGGAGGCTGGAGGATCACTTGAGGTCAGGAATTTGACCAGCCTGAGCAAGAGCGAGACCCCGTCTCTACAAAAAAATAGAAAAATTGGAGGCTGAGGTAGGAGGATCTATCTGCTTGAAGTCAGGATTTTGAGGTTGCAGTGAGCTATGATGACACCACTACACACTAGCTGGGGCGACAGAGCGAGATTCTATCTCAAAAATAAAAAACAAATAAATTAAATTTTAAAAAGACCTAGCCTCAATCCGGGAAGGAATCCACCCTTACCAAGTATGATTCTGATCTCTCTTAGGCTGGGAATGCTGCCTAATTGGGGGGAAAAAATTCCTTAGGCATAAAGTGATTCTTTTATCCTGATTGGATTTTCTGCAATAGTCCTTATAAATTAAGAAACTGCCTCATTGAAGACAGTGAATACGTTTCAAGTTAGTTTACCCAAAATATAGTTACAAAAAAAAAAAAAAAAGTTACCAGGATATCAAAAAAATTTCAGGACCCAATCTTGAATATAGAAAATGAGCTCAATTATATACGTATAAATATGCATGTAGGGAAAAAAGTGACCAGAAGGAAATGCGCCTACCTATTAGCAGTACATAAAAAATTACTCGATTCAACCTAACAGTCACGGCATCAGTTAAAAGCTAAATTATATTTGCTACGATTTTGCAGACTCATCTGCTTTGCCCAGTGTCACCCAGAGGGACAGTGGCTGAAATAAAGGACCTGCCTCTCCCAACTTTTCCACCAGTTATATGGGAGTTCATGTCCAGGTTTTACCACAAAATGATTTGGGTGTTTGTATGTTTGTTTTTAAGGAAAACGAACAGGCGGAAAAGATCAACATCAGCCTGGCTTTCTTCTTGTATGACCTTCTCTCCCTCATGGACCGTGGCTTTGTGTTTAACCTCATCAAACATTACTGCAACCAGGTGAGCGTTCCTGGGAGGGAGCCATTTCGTTCCTTCTCATCCCGCGAGGGCGGGGCTTGTATGTCCAGGTGAGGTTGCTGAGCTGCTCGTCGGTAGTCTCCAGGTCAGAAAGCTGCCAGGGCTGTAGCAGCTTGGTGGGATGTAACTATTACATAATACAAGGCGCTATCTTATCAGTAGGAAACAGCTGTCCAGAGAGGTCTTATGGGGTCTGCACAGAAGGCAGGCGCTAAAAGATCTGCTTGTTGGGGCTATTTTTAAAATAATCGGATGTGTGAAAATTTGAGTTTGGTGTGAGGTAACCGGTGGGTGTCAGTCTGTAGTGAAGAAATGAACAACCCACGGGCCAATACACAGAGAGGATCTTTGGCTCATTTGCATAACCCCTCCCCTCCAAAAACCACTAACTTTTCTCTTTTTTCACTTTATTATTATTTTTAACAAGATTCTATTGTTTAAAAAATGGCCTTATTTACAGTCATAGAATATGCTCATGAGAATACTTAAAAAAATACAAAAATAATCTATATTGACAAGGTTGCTTCACATACAGGCTACTAAATCCATCAAACCCACTGCAAGTTTTGGAAGCACCATATATTGTTAGAGCTTCTACAAGAATCAAAGGAGATGATGGCATTACCTAAGAAAATGATCTGACCAACATTTGCTATAAACAAAAAGACTACGTTTTCTAAAGGAAGTCCTGACAAGCAGAATAATAAAAAAGAATCCTAAGGAACCTCGGAAGTCCCCAAGAATCACCAGTCCCTGACCTCCTGCACCCTGACCTCCTGCCCCTACAGTGCATGGTCTGTCCAGGATGCCCCAGAACAGAGTGGCAGAGGGGTACTTCACTCCTCTTGACCCCCCTCTTAGGTGTTTAGGATTCCAGGTCACTGGATGCATTTCAAATACAAGTTAATCTGTTTTCAAAACCTTGAGTTGGATATACAGGAAAGAGATACTAGAACACCACTCTAGGCCCAGGGTTTGCTAGTCCCACATGGGCAGTTTTTAGTCCAAAAAGGAAATAAGGCAATCCAAAGTAGATGTCCACCTGTCCTACAAAATGCACATTTTCATTTTCTCTTTCTCTTTCCTTTCTTTTCTCTTGCTCACAATCTTTCTCTTTAAATTCTTTCCTTTTCTTTTAGCTGCCTACTCTTTCTTTCTTCCTCTCCCCTGTCTCAACTGCCAAAGAGCCCTAGACCGGGGCTCAGGAGACCTGTGTTCTAACTCCGGTGATGCCATTAACCACCTTTGGGACTGGGGAGCATGAACTTTTGAGGCATTTGTTTCCTCATCTGCAAGGCTGGATTAGACTTACCCAGATCTTGACATTCTGATTCTATGCTCTGTGTCTGCTGGCGACATTCATGGACATTACTTAGCCCCGTTAGTGGCACTGAGGCCTAACAAGGCTACTGACCCCAGTTCATGGTGATTTAGTTCACTGGTCCCAGCTCTCTAGATATAGAATGAACTTCATACCTGAGGCAAGTGGTATTTTTCCAAAGTTGTCGGATTTTATAATTTTGCATACCCTGAGTCAAACATCCTGTCATGTTTTCTGCCATTTAAAGACTTCATGGCAATGGATATAACCTTAGTCTTTTATCAATAGTCACTAATAATAGACAAATCTACTTCTTCAGTTACTCTCAGTCGCCTACAATGCACCACTAAGTTAACACCCATCCCTTGGGTAGGGCCACTGAGGCTGGCACCGTGGGTCTTTACCTTTGGGGAAGATGTTTTGGGAATGCACTTTACTCCTCTTTTCTAAACATAACTCAAATTATTTTTGAAATCTATGTCTGTAGTAATGTCTCAGGAGACCTATGAAAGATACCCAAAGCGGGGCCTTGTTTGAAGTGCAGCTGTCTTGTGCTTTCAAGTTCTGATAGCCAGCTTAACCCAACACCTCTTTACCAGAGACTCTAAGTGATGGGCGTTTGACCAGGTTCTAATCTGTTCAGTTTTCTGGTGCAAAGTCCAAACTGCAAAGTCCCACTCATCCAAAGTCAGCCAGAAGTACAATTGAAAGGGTATGGGCTCTGTTAACTATTCTTCCATGGAAGTCATATGTTTTATTTTTTATGTAATATATAAATTCATTTGTTTCAAGTAAATTTCAAACCATGGATTAATTGTATAGGCAAAATGCCCCACAACACAATGGCTTCTCCTCAAGTGGCTAAAAATATGTATTCATTTAAATTATATAGTTTAGAAAAATGCTCTCCAAATGAGTGAAGAGGAGGCATGTCCCTTTACAAGGATGAGATGCTTCGTATTCCTGTGCTAGGGTGGGAGGGTATTTATGATGAAATATTGAGGGGCTGCAGGTCACCAGTACCCCCTTCTTCTCCTACTTTGCCTTTAAAGGAGCTACCTCTGAGTCTGGGTCTTTTGGTTGTTCAACTCACCTGAGGAAAGCAAGGGACCTCTTCCAGACAGTCACCTTTGTCTGCGTTTCATTGCTTGTTTCATTGTTGGTTTATTTGTTTGTTTGTTTTTTAAAGGAAGATGTTTTCTAAAAAGTCTTCCAGCTTTCTCTCTCTTTCTCCTCTATTTCCTTCTCTCTCGATTTTGGGCAAGCTCCTTGACTTTTTTACAGGTAGTACATACTTTCCTAAGTGGTTTGATGCCTTCCTCTAGGAAACTGGTTATAGAACTTTCCAATGGGACCTTTAATTAGAAAGTACAAAAGAACGCTTGTGGCATTAAAGTCATCCAGTCATATTCTATTAGTTTCATATGGCCCCTTGTGAGGTCGACTCCTTTCATTTAGTTTCTCAGACACAGTAGAGTTTTTGTAAAATTAATTATATTATGTTACACTGAAGACATACCTCAAGATTATTTTCAGCACAGGCTTGCCA